GAAGTCTCAAGTAGTAATACAATGGAGAATGTAACGTCAGAGTTTTTGTAGCAACCTTATTTGCTGGAGGAGAATGGCTCCTCCTCTGATTCCAAAGCAGAAGACAGTTCCTGTGTGTGTGTGTGTGTGTGTGTGTGTGTGTGTGTGTGTGTGTGTGAGCGCGTGCATGTGCGTGCTGGGGAAGTAGGGGGAGTGTGGGGTAAAACTGATCTCTGGCAGGATCCTATGAGAATTGCAGATTCCAGCCTGGCCCTGGTGACCTCTTCCATATTCTGCTTCTCCTCCCCTCCTCAAGTGCACTTGGAGTGCATTTCCCATGAAGTTTGTAAGGACACACATAGTGTGAAATAAAATAAAGTACAGGGCCTCTTTATATCTATATTTCATTAAAGCAGCTTCATTTTTTATTTCCAATTTTGTTTTGCTTGGCCCATGATAATTCTAAATCAGGACTTTTAGAACACCGAATTTAGTTGAGTATATTGAATCTTGTTTTTGTTTTTCTCCTGGGGATTTCTAGTCATTTAATAATACTCATTTTCAAGACCTAGAAAGTATTGACAGACATATAAAATTGCAGTTATACAGACAAAAGGTCCATTATGATATGCTTGAGGAAAGCACAGTAGAGATGATCAGACATACTCATTTTGATCTTTGCCTTATTTTCTTTAAATCAGTACTAAATCATACCATATGGCCCTATCTATATATATAAAAGCCTAAGCAACCATTCGACTGTTTGACCGGTAGCTATGATGCTCACAGACCACCAGAGGGCAGATGCTCAATGTACAGGCATGGAAACATGGAACAGACTGATGAATCTCAGAGGGAAGAGGGGAAGGGGGAAGGGAGTAGGGGGGAAAAGATTAACCAAAGATCTTATATGCATAGTAAAGGCCTGATGCAGGATTGGCTGAAACCAGCCCGGTGCATGAGGTGGGGTCCCTCGGCCTGGCCTGCAGGGATCGGGTTGAAACTGGTAGCCCAACATCCCCTGAGGGGTTCCAGATTATGAGAGGGCACAGGCCAGGCTGAGGGACCCCACCAGTGCATGAATCCGTGTACCGGGCCTCTAGTGGTAATATATTATTTTAGCACCTTTGGAGATTTCTATTGAATAAAATTTTCCAATTCATGTATATGACTGATTCAATGTAGAAATTCAAAGACAATAGATAAATTATTAGAGCCTCTCTACTTCCCATCAAAACATGCCTTTGGCTACTGAACATGATTGTAAGAAATGTGGATGTTTTAAAAGGCAATGGAGCAGTATCCCAAGGTAACAAAGAAATTAGCTTAGTTGTTATTTTGGTTTGTTTCTTTGTGAAGAATACATAGAACATTAAATGAACTAGAGAAAATATTTGGATATGGATTGGACTCTTCAATATTTTTATGGAACCTATTCTTTTGCTCATATATGTTCTCTTTTTTTCCTGCCAATTCTCACTTCTTCTATCCCTGACTGCTCTTTAATTTTGAAGTTGCTAGAATAAATTTCCTCAGAGATATACCTAAAGAAACATTTAGTTTCCATACTTTAGTTAGTGAGTTGGTGTTTAAGATAACTAATAAAATATAGAAGTGCCTGAACAACCCCATCTTTTATGATCTATTTAAGGAAATAGAACTCCTTACCCAGAGTCTTCAGGCACATTGCTCTCTGGCAACACTGGAGGCCTCACCAGATGAGATACAATTGAACTGGACATCACCTCTCCTGTGTACACTAGATCCTAAGTGGATCCAACCTGGAGAACCTGTGATGCCAGGAACTTAAAAAACAGAATAAGACAACACAGTGCATGTTAGGATGTAATAAATTTAGTTTTATATAGCCTAATATACTAAATTTAAGCATAAACATTCACAACAATGTAATATATGCTCAACTACATATATTTATTGGTTTTTATTTGCAGAAAAGAAAAGCAATGTACAGAAGTACAATATATTCAAAATTATTTTCTGAAGTGAATGTTCATTTGCTATCAATGCATTGCTAATTGCTTGCAATTTTGTCTCCTGTCATTACACTAATATGTTGAATAAAGTGTAGTCTGCAATAATAATTTGTGTATACATTTTAATAATTCTGCATGCATTTTTTTAACCTAGATGCTTCTCTTCTATTCCAGGTGCATTCACTTAGTTGCTTTGCTTATTTAAATTTAATGAATTAAGATTTCAACTCACCTTGTCATATCCAGACACTTTACTTACATTCCTAATAGTTTATGGCATACAATATTGCATTTTTATATTAATAAAGCATCTCTTACATAATGACATTAACTATTATGCTAAGAAAAGTTTTGCTAGTGTGTGTATATATTGCTTATATACATGTAGGTATGAATGTAAATAAGTGTGTATGTAGTGTGTAGTGATCTAATGCACCTCAATATCATTTAAGTCAGTGATATATTGTACAGATCAATTCACCCAATAATTAAGTATATGTGAAGGAAGTAACATAATATATATGTTAAAGTTTTATGTGCATAATAGCTATAATATCTTTTAGAAAGTTTATATTTAATATATGCCTGAGTTCCTTGAAGAGAGATTAAAACATAGAGGCCACAAAATTCACAATTCACATTTATCAATACATTGGACTTGACATTTTTTCAAATATTACCCAGTTTTATTACTATGTTCAAAAATTTAAAGAACAATGTAGACCATAATTCGAAGAAAACACATTCAACTGAATGCAGGCTGCTGAAATAACTTTTCGAAGACCAAATGCAATGACTGTTAGGAAGAACAATAGGTCTTCCATAGTTGTTTTCAATATTGTCATTAAATTCTGTAAGGAAAGTTCTTTGTTTTAAAGAAAGATAAAGAACTGATTTTAAAATATAATTCATGCTGTTTTAAACTTGACAGCCTATGAGGTTGTCATAGCGGCTTTTCAAATTTTCTATGTTGACCTGAAAAAATGTATGTAGTTACAGAATGTAAAAAACAAATACATCTTATTTTCAGAGAGTTATCCCACATGTTATCAGGGTTTGGGATTAACTTTTTCCTCTTGTTCAGTGATCCTCAGAAGCTATGGTGATGGTAAGGTTTAAGTTACTAAAGCCAATGGGCTAGGATTGGGTGTAGGGCTGAAGACGAAGGAAAGAAAAGTAAGCTTAAGTCTAGAATTTAATTACCTAACATTTTCCTACTAAGCACCCACTGGAAACCAGACACAATTTTAAATTTAGAGGATATTTTGGAATACAATGATGATTTCATGTTTTCAATTTCAGAGAGTCATATCCTATATAATAAAAGCCTAATGTGCTATGTGTTCGACAGTTTGACCAGTTGCTATGCCTTGCACTGACCACCAGGGGGCAGACGCTCCAACTGGTAGGTTAGCTTGCTGCTGGGATCTGGCCAATAGGGACTGGGTGAGAAGGGCTAGACACGCCCTGGAGCGCTCCGTCGGCCCCTTCCCAGCCCCAATCGTGCACCGGTGGGTTCCCTCGGCCTGGCCTGTGCCTTTTTGCAATCCAGGGCCCCTCGGGGGATGTTGGAGAGCTGGTTTCAGCCTGATTCCTGCAGGCCGAGGGACTCCACCAGTGCATGAATCCAGGCACCAGATCTCTAGTATTTAATAAATAATGGCAATACATTTTCTTAGTTTAGGCTGCCATAATTAAATACCTTTGAACGAGTGACTTAAACAACAAAAATAAAGTTGTCACAGTTCTGGAGACTGGGGATTCCAACATCTAGGTACCAACAGATCCGGTGTCTGGTGAGAGGCCTCTTACTGGCTCACAGACAACCAAATTGTCACTGTGTCCTCCCTTGGAGGACTGCAGAGAGAGTGCACTCTTGATGTCCTTTTATAAGGGCACTAATCCCATTCACAAGGGCTCCGCACTAATGGCCAGATTACCTTTTAGAGGCCTATCCTCCTAACAGCACTACACTGGGGGTCAACATTTCAATGTATGAATTTTGGGAAGACACAAACATTGAGTTTCTAGCACATGCTAAAATAAATGAGAAGAAGTATACACAGAGTGTTTTATGCCTAGGTCCCTGACTGGGCTAGATTGTAACTTGCAAAAGTTTCTAATGTAAGTATATGGCAGAGGAGGGATGTTCCAAATATTAACAAGAGGGGAAGATATAGATCCATACGTGAAAACAAATAAATGTTATGGAAGTAACAACTCCTCCCCCTCTGACCTGTTCTATCTTCTTACTGAAGCCCTCCAAACGCTCATAGGAATTGTGTTTTCCAAATATGGGGGATGGGTTTGTAGTCTGTGGATGGATTAATATGAAAAAGTATCCAATAAATTGAAAATAGATTTCAATTCTATATTGTAATTATATTTATTGAATATTATATTTTAACAAATCAAGGAAACATTTTATTAGAAGGCATGTTGGGGAGCACATAAACACATATACATAAATATGTATATGCATGCAAGATTATTAAAGGGTTCACATTCAGTGATAGTAAAGGGTTAACAAATTTCAATATTAGACTCTGGAATGTAAACTATCTAAAGTTTCACAGCTGAATAATGCTTTATCTTGTGATGCGGCAGGTATGGGCACTATTTTCTGCTCGTAGAGAGAAAACACGAGTCACTCAGTCCATAAGTATTTATTGAGCCTGCAGCAGGTGCCAGTGTAATGCCCCATTTTCAGGCTGCAACCAAGAACGAAGCAGACATTGTCTCTCCTTGTTTATATACAGAGTTTTGAACTAGCTAACCCCACAAACATTTTTCGGATCACATCAGACATTTAGATGTCAGATGTATGCCCAGCCATCTTAGCCCAACAATATTCTTCCAAATTGTACAAGCTACTGAAAAGTATAACAATTAAAAATATTAATTTGGGTGAAAACATATTGCAGAGATAAACTAAATAATATATGCATTTCTCTTATCTTTCTAAAAATACATATTGATGATTTCCTGCTTACCAGTTTCATTTTTAAACCTTTCCTCTGACCGTAGGAGCTGATGCTGTGGAAGCTCAGTGTAAAAGATTTGAAGTGAGAGCAAGTGAAGATGGCAGGGTGCTGTTTTCTGCAGATGAAGATGAGATTACCATTGGGGCTGAAAAGCTGAAAGTTACAGGTACTGTAGATTGAGGTATTGAAACATTGTTTACTTCTTGAAAGAATTTATCACTGGAAAAAAGCTACTTTATGAGGTGTGTGATCCCCATGTCCAAAATTGAGTTTCACAGTCACAACGATGTCACAACGTTTGAGTTTCCAACAGTCTTCAAAGAGAAGGGCCAGGTTGTGGATGTAAACAATTAGCCTTGTTGATGTATAATTAAGCTGTGAGTCTCAGGGAGGGATAGGTGGAGGAAAGTGGGCATGAATGGTGGAAGATAAAAGGTAGGTCAAACACAAAATAAAGCTTTCTATAGGTGATAGACAAATAAAATGTAGAGATTATTTAAAAATAAAAGATATGTAAAAGGAGAACTAAAGTGTAAATACCAACTTTAAAATGAAGTAGGGGAAAGATTATAATATAAGTAAACTAAATGATTGTTCTTTAGGGCTCATAATTATCTTAAAAAGTATATAAACCGAGAAATAGTGCTGATCACATATTATTTAGGAGTTATTAAATTAGGGTCCTAACATTAGGATCATAATTCAATCAACAACTGAAATTGAAAAGCAAGAACAACAACAAAAAAACACACACACACCAAAAAACAGAAAGTTAAAGGGATGATTGGGATCAGCGAATAATTTTTAAAGACAACTTTAAGCACAATTTCTATTCAATTATTTCATTCACAACAATAACACACGTTTTATTAAAACTAGCCAAAGAGGCCCACATTATTTTAAGAAAGAAAACCGATGAAATATCTTTGACTTAGTGTTATCCAGATAGGAGTTTGGGAACAGCTTCTGGGATATCTGTCATATCTAGTTAGGTCCAACTTAGTCCTCTGCGCCCTGTGAGAGCAGTTAGCATGGTAATTGGCCTCTGCTCTCGATGGGTTTTGGGGTTGAATCCTATCTCTACTATTCAATAATTTAAATAAATCATATACGCCTCCAATTTTTCTTAATCTAAATGATAATGATAAATTTAGTGTACAATTACGTGTGTGTGCACATACATGCCTTTGTGTGCATCTGTATGTTTAGAAGGTTTTCCACACATAATAAAGATGTTGTAAAGGTTAGCTCTTTATTCTTATTAATGAAGAGAAATAATAATATTGTCAATGTCCCAGACATGGCTCCGTGGACTTCAAGAAAGATTTACTATTAAATAACAACGAAATTCAACAAGGGTTGTTGAAAGGGGATCCTCATTGGGCATCCCTGGGATTGCTCACAACCCACTACCACCCTCATGTCCTGTCTTTTGTGAGAGTGTCCTGCTGAGTAGCTGGGGCCTGTAACATCAGGTTGGTGTTTGGTTGTGGCCCCTATTACTGTCCATCTGCCTTATTTTCCTTTTTTTCTTAAAATTCCTTGGAAAGGTCAGGAAAGGAAGTATGCATATGAGGGAAAAATTAACCAAATTGACCTGTCTAAGTCCTGTGATGGGGGCAAGGGAGACTTAAAAAAGCATGAAGATATGGTTAGTGTAGAACAGAGACAAGTCACTAAGGACATTGACTGTTAGGGCCCTTTGCGCTAACATGTGAATTGCTGGTTGGTAGAAAAGTTGGGTATGTGGTTAGAAATGCACTCAGGGAGATTGGGCACATCTGACTTCAATATTTAGCAATCTTTGAACCTTGATAGTGCATACTGGTAATCAGCTTTGAAACCAGCATAATTCTGAGACAGCATTTAGAATATTACACAGTTACCCCAAAATTATTTAATCAGTATTCAGATATTCCCATGGGGTACTTTGCATTCATAAATGAAGGGACGTTCTAGAGCTCTGGACAGCTTTTAGGATTCATGGAATTTTAACTTTCTCTGATCTTTATGTTACCTTGACTTGTCTCATAACAATTGTGGTGGAATGCTCTCTTTACAAAATTAGACACATTCAGTAGTTTTTGAAATTTTTTCTTTGAGGTAGGTGGATACTCAATTTTATTTTCCTCTTTTTCTTGGTATCCTTGGACTATAATTTGAGCCATCAAGTCAGGGGAGAATGTGCCTACTGAAAAATCTAAGTTTTTCTGCTTTTTAATTAACTGTCTTGAAGCAGTCATCTCTGCTAACCTGTTCATTTTTTTCTTGCTCTCTCTCCCCCTCTGTGTATGTATGAATGTGTGTGTGTGTGTATGTATAGTATATATGAATAGTATATATGTATATATGTATGTATAGATGGACAACTACTTTTATCTCACTCTGGCTCTCTTTCTCCATTTCTTTCTCTATCTCAAAATTATACACATAACTGAGTTTATTCTTCATATATTCTTGATTGATCTATATTTCCCAATTATCTCAGAAAATTAATCAGTTTTACAATAGATTTATGTACTATATGATTCCCGAAGATCCCATCTAACAAAATAATGTAATCCTGAGGCCATCATTTCTGAATCCAACATAATTTTGTAAGGGTTTGAGGAATAGCACTTAGGATGAAAGAATGAGCGTGCCTCTCTACATTATTAACAGATGCACGGAGAGTAACTGAGCTGATTAGAATCGCCACCACCTCCCCAAGTCTCCAGGCACATTTCTGTTTCTCATAGACACAAGCATACACGTGCCCTCTCAAGCCCTGCTAGGCCCGTACTCCTTTGCTAGATGATTGCATATTAATTTTATAGTAGCTGTGTTCCTTCCTGTGATGCTTCTAAAATAAAAGGGGGAAAATATATCAAAGACAAATGTAATTTAGCATTTTACATGCTTGGAGGAGAAAATCGTGCATAGCGTCGCATGCAATTTAGGGGAACGAGAATTGATTAGTAAGCCCACATATACTTTAAAGCAGTGCTTGAATCATTGAGCACATAGCACTGCAAAGAAACATTGACTCCTGGGTGCTTCATATAATTAGTTAGCTGCGCTGACAAGACTTCAGAGTTGAAGTGACAAGAGATCTGTGTGAAGTTTATTCTAGAATTTTAACTTTGTGACACAAAAATGTTCTATTTAAGGAAGATTCTTAGGAATTGAAATGAGCCCTTCCTAACATTATCCTTTGTGAACAATGGTATTTTGTACATGGACTTCTCTTTTAGGGTGACAGAAGTGGATGCATTTATTTAGTGTGTCTGTACACCTGAGGCAAAATCATTGATGCCTAAAATTATTGATTGATCTAGTATTGCTCAGGATATTTACATTTACCCTTCCTAAAATGTAGCAGGAATTTACGTCATACATGTAAATACCAGTGACAGCGGTTCTCAACCTGTGGGTCGCGACCATCAGAAAACACTTATAGCATATCAGATATTTACATTACAATTCGTAACAGTAGCAAAATTACAGTTATGAAGTAGCAACAAAAATAATTTTATGGTTGCGGGTTACCACAACATGAGGAACTGTATTAAAGGGTCGCGGCATTAGGGAGGTTGAGAACCACTGGTTCAGGAGGAAAATGGCAAATGGTTACCTGAACACAACCACCCCACAGTTGCCTATCACCATTATGAGCAATCAGATGCTTGAAATGTATAACTCTTTACTCTTGATATTACTTGACTTGCTCAGTAATTATTTAGTTAAATTTTAATTTGTGTTGTTGTTGTTTTTTTCCTTTAAAAATTTATCTTTATTGTTTAAAGTATGACAGAAGTCCCCTTGAGTGTTTCTCTTTTCCCATTGACCCCCTCCACCCTGCACCTGCCCCCTCCCAGGCCTTCACCACACTATTGTCTGTATCCATGGGCTATGCATATATACATATAAGTTCCCTGATTCATCTCTCTTAATTCTTCATTTGAATACACTTATTTGACCTTTACATGCCCTCTCTGTGTTATTGGATATTTTGGAGTTTCACTTGTTAGCTCACATATACATGCTTGAATGCAAACCTTATTTGCATTTTGTATCCCCTACTATTGGCCAATGATATCACTTAATGCAATTATCTTTTGAGAGCAGATAAACAAATAAAAGATAGAAACCTTTACACTCAGAAGACTCAAATTTAGTGCTTTCAGGCAGAATCTATCAACTTCAATTTGTACTTTCATTTGTATTCCATGCCGTATATTCACTTGGAAACAACGTGCATGTACAAGTCATTTGGCTTTATAAAGTGAAAGACTTTAGCCCTATAGAATACCTTAGTGTTAAATTAAATGCTATCGGTTGGACTTAGACCTCTCTTCTTTGTATTTGCGAGAAAAAGGAAAAAAACGAAAAGCTAAATGTCTGAGGAGAAAGGGTATGTCTTTTGTTTTCAGAGTAGAAATTAAAACTGGCAAGCTGAAAGAATAATGATCCCAGCCACGCATGTACCCATGCCCTTGTCTTGACTTGAAAAGCAAGAGTACTACTCCTTTGTCTCTGTTCTAGCTGAGTGCCTGGGAAGATAGACACGTTCTCATGCCTGTGTGACAACTGAGGAAAGGATTTTCTGAAGAGCTGTCTTTTAAATTAAACACCACGTGTCTGGGTTGAAATCAATATTTTCTGGTTTGTTTTTATTAGTTCGTCTGCTACATCCTGGTTCTTGTCTGTTAAATTGGCACATGGTGAAGGGGGCAGCTTTGGAACCAAGCATTCTGTTATGCAAGACCATCGTTTCCCCCACCTGTCCAAATGCCAAGAATGTGTACCACTCAGCCGGCAGGATGGATGGAGCTCCTTGGTCCGAATGGCACTTGAAGAAATGTGATTAGATCAGGCGCCGAGGAAAGTACTGTGCAGGCATTCATTTACTCGAGTGTGGCATTTCAAGTTCACAGAGTAGGGTAAATCACCCACCTCACTCACCTAGTTTTCCAGTTGCTTTTAAACCTCCTGAGGAGAAAGATTTTGGAGACACTAATGATGAGTACCACTGCACCTTACCCCCAAATCTCCAGGTAAATCTTGTGGAAAGGTTTGAAGTGTATAAATGATGAACTAGGCCCTATTGGCAATCTTCTTCATGACTTATTTTTCTAAGCTATCATTTAAATGTTTCCTACTTTTGTTAAAGCAAAACTTGAAAAT